TCACCTAGCTTGTGGTCCACATCCATAGGAGTATCTGCTGGCCTTGCACCTAATTTACCTGTATCCCGTAATAGATCAATGGTGTATTTCCTTTGAGAGACAAAGATACCATTTTCTGAGCGGGCAACTTCAATCCCAAGGAAATACTTCAGGAGTCCTAGATCTTTCACTTCAAATTTAGATGCAAGGAATTGTTTCAAGTTCAGTATCTCTAAGCTCCAAATTCCTGTAATGATGATATCATCTACATACACTATCAATACAGCAACATGTTCCTGACATCTCTTCACAAAGAGTATATGATCAGACTAACATTGTTTGAATCCCATCTCTTGAACTGCCATGTGAAACTTACTGAACCAGGCTCTGGGAGACTGTTTTAAGCCATARAGAGACTTYCGYARCTTGCACACCTTATTTTCACTCCCCTTGGCACAGAATCCAGGAGGTTGAACCATATATACCTCTTCTTCTAAGTCACCATTCAGGAAAGCATTCTTTATGTCCAGTTGATGCAATTCCCAGTCAAGATTAGCAGCTAAGGACAGGAGAACCCTAATTGAATTCATCTTAGCCACCGGGGCAAAAGTCTCATCATAGTCAACCCCATATACTTGTGTGTACCCTTTGGCCACTAGTCTTGCTTTGTACCTTTCGACTGTTCCATCTACCTTGTGCTTAACTGTGAACACCCATTTGCACCCCACGGGGTCTTTCCCCTTTGGAGGATCCACCAATTCCCAAGTCTGATTTTTGTGGAGGGCATTAATCTCCTCCTTCATGGCATCTACCCATTCAGGGCATTTTAAGGCTTCTACAACATTTTTGGGAACAGGGATGCAATCAACTGCTAATAGGAAGGCTCGGTACGAGGGGGAAATGTGGTCATAGGAGACAAAGTGGGTAATGGGGGGTGTTTGGTAGTGCAGGACCTGACTCCCTTTCCTTAGGCAATAGGAATGTCAAGATCATCCACAGTAGTAGAGTTAGGGGGTGGACTTACCTCCTAGGAGTCTGATGATGTCAGTTGCTCAGTGTTTGGATACTCCACATCTCTATCACACCGCTGATCTCTCCGACGTGTACGTTGGAAGACACGGAAGGGAATAAGGTCCGGAATAGAAGGAAGAGATACCTGAACCTTCTTCTCCTCTTCCACACTATGACTCTCCCCCTGAGGAGAAGGAGGGAAGAATGGCTCGGACTCAAAGAAGGACACATCCATAGACACAAAAAATTTACGACTAACTGGGTCAAAGCACAAATACCCTTTTTGAGAGGAGGGGTACCCTAGAAAGACACAAGGAATGGACCGAAGGTCTT